AGAGTGTGCTAATTATTATCCTGAGGCTCTGTGAAAGCTTGTGTGCTCACCGGTAAATCAGACATCTCAGTATCACATAGTTTTACAAAATTGTTGTATCCATGTCTAGCTTGACTTGGCATATTTTCTTTAGTGTATTGCTTTAGTGAAATAAGTGTGTGGGAGTCTCAAGACAACTGGAGCTTTCACAGTATATTTGTATTTGGTCTGTAACTGGGGAAGCGTTTCAGAAGTCAAGCAGCAGGGAAATCTGTAGAAAGAAAAGTCTGAACCCAAACTTTTTTTTCCCTCCACCTTAGGAATGTTGTCAGTTCTTACTCTGATGTCCAGGTAAGAGTTATTTGGTTACCAAAAAGGAATACAAACATTTCTACTTGCTCCTTCTTTCACTGCTGAAAACTAAATTCTGTGGATGTGAAGAAAAAGCTGTACAGACTGCCCAGTAGTCTATGATATTTCAGCTGACTTTGTAAAAGGATAACGAAGACTAGCCCTATATAACAGAGATAAGTAGATGCATACAGGCAAGTATGCATAAGCATGCAAATAACCTCTTCACATGGTTCTCTCTTAAACTTAAGTTTTTGTTCCACCATTATTGAGTCTTTATTTGTGTTGATAACTTTATTTGCAAACATTTTAACTACCCAGAGTAGGTTTTGATTTTACATCCTGGCTTTTATCACTTACAGAGTTGGCTTGAACTAGGAAATAAGCAGAGAGCAACAGCTGCCACAGTAATGAATGACAAGAGCTCTAGATCTCATTCAGTCTTCACCCTTGTCATGACCCAAACCAAGGTATTGCTGGGTATTTTATATCTGTTTGAATCAGATAGTAAAAAGTTGGTTTGTGTGCTGCCTCAAAAATTGTTGTGAGAATATACTTGAAGATGATGAATGAAGCACAGAGCATTTTAACATGGTTTTCTACACAGCAAAACTTGTTTTATTTTATGTGCTTTGAGTAGATTCTGATGCCTCTGTGCTATATATATTTATAGCAGCAATATAAATATGTCTAGACTGGCAGATCTAGGAGTAGTTCCTAGCTTCTGAATGCAAGTTTTGAGATGTAACTGGAATCCAAATAGAGGCCAGACCTTATTTCACATTGCTGCCAACACATCTTAGCTTCTAAGAAGGTTAGGCTATGCAAGGTGGACAGCTGTACTGAGTTCCTGCAGGTGATAGGCTGGAAGATGCAGTTTCTGCTCAAGTTTCAACACAGTTCACTGAGTAAATGTTTCCTTGCTTCAGGATACCTCTCATCTATGTGTCTCCAGGATAGAGGGGCTATAACTCCTCATGTGATTTACAGATGTATAAGAGAGAAAACCTGACTTCTTGAGATGAGCCTGAGACCAGTTAAATTGGTAGAGCTTTTCAGAAGTCTACAGACTGACAGCTTTCCCCATTCACAAATGACTGTTGTTGTTGTTGTTGTTGTTGGTTTAATTGTTTGGCCCAATTTCCTAATTTTCTCCTTCCTTCTGCTCAATATTCTCACCACTAGATTATTTATTTCCTCTATCGGAACTAGTCCTGAGACTTTTTTTGCGCTGACTACTTAGCTGAAGTCTATAACAGCTTACTTATTTCTGTAGGTATTGGATAACCACAACTGTCAAACTTCAGACCCAAACTCTTACTTTACTAATCCGTTTGTCCAGGTTATGCTTATATTCAGCCACAAACAATTGATACTATGGTTAAAAGTCTGATTTTAGTCTCCTTCAAGGGAAGTACCTGAAAGTGTCCTGTCAAAAAGTAAATGGAAATGTCTTTTTGGTGGCTGTTTTTGGTGTTTTGGTTTTTTCTTTTCCTCATGTATTTAAAGCGAACAGCTTGTTAGATTTCCGATTGTGCTCAGGCTTTTTATTTTGGTTCAAATGCAAACATTTTCCTTTTTTCCAGGTAGAATTTGTGGATGAAGAACAATGTGATCATAGGCTTACCAGTCACATAAATCTAATTGATCTAGCTGGCAGTGAATGCTGCTCAACAGCTCAGACCACTGGAGAAAGGCTGAAGGTAAACCAACATTGGCAACCTGTGAAAAAGGACCGATTCCAAAGAACACCTCTAAATTCCAAAGACTCCTCACCTACCAGGCCTCTTGGGCAGGACCTGTAGTTAGAAAAGGATATGTAGCCCTTATGCTTCTAAGTACTGCATAGCATTTTGTCAGTGAGAGTGGATGGCCCTAAGAAGCTGTTTTGACCGTGCGGTATGGCAGGCCAGGTCTTGCTTAGGAGAGCACTCCCCATGATATGCAGACCTAACCATCCTTTAGAAGGAATGCGGAAGAACTGTCCTGTGACATTGCAAATCATGAATCAAGTATTGTGTGGAGTTGGGGCTTGCCCCGTTTTTGGGGATTTACGTGTATACAGTTTCTAATAGGAGACTTTCTTTCAAGCTGCCTTCAAAAGTTTGTTGGTTCTTACCAGTGCTTATTTGAAAGCTAGGGTCTTTGTAATTTCCAAATTAATATTTTTAGGATATTCTTGCATCTTGTTGTTTTGTGTTTCTGTGTCTGTTTTTGTTTTTTAATCAGTGGTATCCTTTAATAGGGTACAGCTGTACCATATGTTGAATAAGCACAATTAAATCAACAGTACATCAACAGTCAATAACAGCACACAAGAAAATACAATATATTATAATTATTTTTATTTTTGCTTTTTGTAGGAAGGTGCAAGTATCAATAAATCACTGTTAACCCTTGGAAAGGTTATTTCTGCACTCTCTAAACAATCTCAAAATGGAAAGAAAACTTTTATTCCTTACCGGGAATCTGTCCTTACTTGGTATGTACGTTTCACAATTTTTTATATGGAAGCAAAGGCTTTCTTAGGTTGTGGATTCCTCTTTTGTTCAGGAGGCATCACTTCCCCTCCCTTCCTTCCTCTCAAATGACCTATGGAGTATTTGAAATAGCTAACAATCACTCTCAAATAAGTAGCAAGACCATAGGTATTTTTTACTTAGTATGTTCAGATTGAGGAGTTTAATTTCAGTTTCAAAGTGGAGGCTGGGGATTGACTTCTACTCTCTTGTCAAATGAAGGTTGTTAAAGGAAAGTCTGGGTGGAAATTCACAAACTGCTATGATTGCCACAGTAAGTCCAGCTGCCAGCAGTACAGAAGAAACACTCAGTACTCTTCGCTATGCAAAACAAGCTTGTTCAATTATCAATATTGCTAAAGTAAATGAAGATGTGAATGCCAAGCTAATCAAAGGTGAGGTTGACATCTACAGTCTTAGTTTTTCACTTACATGTGTGTTTACCTTATTGCTCCATAAGAGCTGTTACTACTAATAATCTATTGCGCTGACTGACCACTTGTCAAACAGGCTAATACAATTTAGGATATCTTTCTTTTAATATTATTCTTCTTTGTGAACTTTTTTTTCCGAAGTCCAGATGATATCTTAGGCTATACTTGAGAACCTAGAATGGGAAAAGAAGTTTCATTTTGAATTAAATAACAGGATTAATTTTCTAGTATCACACTAAAATGTCTAAGTCCTTTTTTTTCTTCATTTTTTTTGCATGTACTGTGTGTCTGCTTTGTCTAATGTAGAACTGAAAGCTGAAATTGAAAAACTGAAGGCAGCTCAGAAAAGCACTCTGAACACTGATCCTGAAAAATACAGACGTTATTTGCAGGAAATAACATCTCTCAGGATAAAATTGCACCAGCAGGAGAGGGACATGGCAGAAATGCAAAGGTCGGACAGACCCTAATGTCTTACTTTAGAAATGGTGAAATTTATATGTTGTAATTTTTCTCCTAATATGTTTTGTTATTTTCCCTTTAATATATTAAGGGCCTGGAAAGAAAAATTTGAACAAGCAGAAAAAAGGAAATTAGAAGATATAAAAGAATTGCAGGTACGTTTTATTCGCTTACTTCACTTTCTGTAGGAGATAGTATAGAAAATAAAACATCAGCAAGCCTTGCAGAAGAATTAGAATAGTTGTAAGATCTGCTTTCCTTAATGCAATTCTTTTAACAGACTACTCTGGCTTCCTAGAAAATTTTAATATAGATACTTAAATATACAAAATAAATTGTTTTTTATGTAGAGCTTTCTTTTATCTAGAAAGCAGGAATTGCATTCAAAATGGACAATCATTTACCAAACCTTGTCAACCTCAATGAAGATCCTCAGCTTTCTGAGGTGCTGTTGTATATGTTAAAAGAAGGAGAAACTTCAGTTGGAAGGTATACACCAAATTCAAAACATGATATCCAGCTTTCCGGAGTGCTAATAGCTGATGACCACTGGTATGTAGTGTTCTTTTTATACATGAATTGAGAGCAGGAAATACTTCTTTTCACCCCTCCTTTTACCTTTTGGAGTCACTTTTCCTTCTGGCAGTGAAAAAATATGGTTTTCTAGTCAGGAAAATAATATTTAGGGATAATTTTTGTACTGTTCAATGATTAAGGTACCTTCCTTCTATTCCCTCTAGAAATCTGTTAACTGAGGTAGTTTAATTTCTTTGTTAATTTTATTCATGTAGCGAAATCTGTGCAGCAATGCTGGAGAAAGACCTGATCAAATGATGCTGTGTGATAACTATTGCATTAAGTTAAATGTAAAAGTGACATGTCTTGACAGTTCTTACTTAAAACCAGAAGTAGAGAGCAACTTGGCCATATTGCAGAAGTCTTGTTTAAAGTGCATTCTATCCAATTGATTCTTGACAAAATTCTGGAAGAAACTTAACTAATCAATTACTAAAAACATGAAAGATAGGGGTATGTTGGGAAAATAAGCATTATCAAAGAAATGCCTAGATGACAAGATAATGCATTATTTTTTTAGCAGATTCTTCTTAGATTTTTCTCTTTCAAATTATAGGTTGCCAGTCATTAATTATGTTGTAACTAAATAGTATGAAGAAAATCCACATCCGGAAAAACAATAGTAGGACTCTAACTAAAACATGAATTTTAGTCTGTGCAGAAACATCATTTGCAATTAACATGAGCAACTGTTATTGCAAGTGTTTCTTTTTTTCAGTGTTATAAAAAATACTGTTGGCAAAGTGAGTATTATTCCACTGAAAGAAGCAAAGACATATGTAAATGGAAAGTGCATTTTAGAACCAACAGTTCTGCATCATGTAAGTAATTGATTTGGTGAAAGTAATGTGTGCGTGTGTGGATTTCTTAGCTTTGTTAATATGACAAATTAAAACTGCAAGTTTTCTTTCAGTGTTCTGGAACCGTAAATATTTGTTTCTTTCTCTTGAATTTCTAGCCCCATCTGTTACATTTTAAGCTCTATAAGTTTGCTTATAAATCTAAAAGTTATATAACAAATTCCCACTCCCCTTTCTCAATAGGGTGATCGAGTGATCCTTGGAGGAGACCATTATTTCAGGTTTAATCATCCAGTAGAAGTTCAGAAACTTGAAAGGCCATCTTGTGGAATTACAATTTTGCATGATGGTCCAAAAGATTTTGAATTTGCAAAGAATGAGCTGCTTATTGCACAGAGAACACAGTAAGTATTGTATCTTCTTGTTCTAAAAATAAATTCAGTTGTTAACGCAACTGTCCAATAAGTTTAAGAAATAAGAAACTTAAGATAATTAATTATTTCACAATATGAGAAAGTTGGAAAGTAGGGAGGTTATTATTAACTCCATTTATAATGGAAATGGAAGTCCCAAACTTGGCTGGAGTGAATGTATCCATCTAAGAGGTCATCACCACAATCTAGTCCAGTTATGAAGAATGTAGACTACTATTAAAGAAACACTGATCTCTACAGGTCCTCAAAGTAGCGTATCTCTTCAGTTGAATTTCTTTCCAAGCATGTAATGAGTCTGAAATTGACTTTTGATGTTTTAGGGAGATTAAAGCCTGAAATGCAAATGCTTTAGGAAAATGAGAAGAACCCAAAGTTATAACCTTGGTCTTTTGTGATGGTGGAGAATTTGAGAGACAGTAAAGTGTTATCTGTAGTTGCTTTGTTCCTGGAAGTTATTAAACTGCAAGACTTATTGACTTAAAATTTACTTTTATACATCTGAATATGATTTAGTGAGTTTCTGTTAGAGTGCTTGATTTTGTGAAAGGTGCTTAATAAAATAAATAAGGAAATCAAGTAGACTTAAAAATTCTGGAATGTCTTCTATCTTTACCAGTGTCTGCATTTTCCCTATGAAAGAAAAAAATATCTCGGTAAAGTATAAAATTTGCCTTGGGAAAAAAAAAACAAAAACAACAAAAACCCCCAAAAAACCAAAACAAACCGAAACAAACCCTCATATTTTTACTGTTAAAATCGGAGGCTCCTGTGATGCTAGAAGGAAAGATTAAAATACCTATGCGGCCTAGAAGTGATTAAAGACCACATTCTAAACGTACGATACGTCCACTTGTAGGCTTGAATCAGAGATTGAAGAGGCACGACTCAAAGCAAAGGAAGAAATGATGCAAAGTGTCCAAATTGCAAAGGAGATGGTTCAGCAAGAACTGACCTCACAAAAAGAAGCTTATGAAAGCAAAATAAAATCACTGGAAGCAGAGGTGGTGAGTGGCAACATTCCATAAAACATATCAGTAAAATAAAACAGAAGCTGTAGTATGGATTTTCTATTTGTTCTTTAGTTGTTTTGGTTTTTGCTGGGAACTTTTGCCTTGCCAAGCCTCATTCTTATTCTCTTATAAATAAATAAAACAGCCTTACTAGCACAAGAAGTTATGAAGTAGGTATGCCCTTCAAAATTATTCTAGGGATTTTTGTTTATTGAATTAGCCAGGAACTAAAATGTTAATCCAGTGTGAATTTGATGAGGATGTAACTTGTATGTGAAGAAAAATCCCTACAAAATCTAATTTATTCTGAGACTTAAATTACTACAGTATTTTAGTTAATATGGCTTTTTTTTCCTTCCAGGTTTGCATGTTGCTTTGTTGTTGGTCTTTTCAATAATTTACTATATATATAAGTTACATAAACAAGTACATAGTGGTAAAACAATAATAATGATGGTATGTCTTATTTCTTAAATGTGCTATATAGAAGATGTAATGTGAGTTTTGTGAACTGGGATGTAATACTTAATTGCTGACACTGGGCTGAGTGGTCCAGAAGGGCTGTATGTTTTAAATGTACTGAAGTGAAAATAAACCTTAACATCTGCCTACGGGATGGGTCAGAAATGCTTTAGCAATGGTATACCTCCTCTCATCTGTCCTTTTCATATTAGAGAGAAGAATCTCGTAAGAAGCAAATCCAAGAACTGAATAATCAAAAAGCTGCAACTAAAATACAGGAACTAGAGAAGGCAAAGCAAAATCTTGAGCTAGAACTACACTTCAATAAGAAGCGTTTAGAAATGGAGACCTTAGCTACCAAGCAGGTAATTAAACCCAACAAACTGTGGCTTGTTTCTGGTGGGTTTTTTGGGGAATTTTTTTTAAATGATTGTAAATTGGTTTTTTTTTCTTCTACATGATCTTATGCAAAAGAAAAAAAAATTTAAGCATGTCAATATATAAGCAAAACCAGAAAACCATCAGAGTTTGAGAATGAAGCATTTCATATCAGAATAGCAGATGTCCAATATAAATTTCATGCTGTTCTGAGAGTCCATAAAATGACAGCAGTCAAAAAATTGCTTAAATAAACAGCATTTAAAGTTTTGGGGTTATGGTTTGGTTTGGTTTTGTTTACCCCTCCTTCGCCCAGGCTCTAGAAGATCATACTATTCGTCATACAAAAATACTTGAAGCTCTGGAAGCTGAGAAGCAGAAGATTGCTGAAGAAATACATACCCTTCAGAGGAATCGTGGAAGTGGGAATAAAACTATGACTAGTATGTATACACATAATGTTGCAAGGGTGATGTTGGCTCTTTTTTTCTTGATGGTCTTGGATTTAGTGGATATGGATCTGGAAGCTTTTAATCTTCCTCTAATGCTTCTCTAATGATCCTGAACAAGAGCAACCTTTTGGCTGTGTTGTGGTTTAACCTGGCAGGCAGCTAAACACCTCACAGCTCCTCACTCCCCCTACCCCACAGTCGGATGGGGGAGAGAATTGAGAAAAAGCAAGACTTGTGGATTGAGGTAAATATAAAGACAGCATAATAGAACAAAAAAGGAAGGAAATAATAACAACAATAATATAATAATAAAATAACTAGAATATACAAAAGAAGTGATACACAATGCAATTTCTCACCACTTGCTAACCAATGCACAGTCAGTTTCTAAGCAGCTGCCCTGGCCAGCCTTCCCTCCAGTTTACATACGAGGCATGATATTATATGATATGGACTATCTTCTTGGCTTCTTTGTGTCAGCTGTCCTTGCTGTGTTCCCTTCCAGATTCTTGGGCACTTCCAGCCCCCACTGGCAGGGCAGTATGAGAACCTGCATAAGTCCTTGTCTTAGTATAAACACTGCTTAGCAACGAATAAAACAACAGTGTGTTATCATTGTTTTTCTCAGCGCAAATCCAAACCATAGCCTTATGCTAGCTCCTATGAAGAAAATTAACTTTATTCCAGCCAATAACAGCACAGGCTGCTATGATCCTTTCCATTCATAAGCTGCATACATCAGACAGTGCTGAAAGGTCTGTTCTAATCATGCTCAGGATGGTTAGCTGGATATACACGTAGTCTGTATTTAGCTGGATTACTTAGAAATTGTTCCCCCATCCAGTTGAACTGGTTAGGCATTAATTCATTGGGGAAACTGAAATAACAGAATTTAGTCTGTTTAGTTTCCCATCTCAGATTAGTCTAATATGTAGTGTCTAGTTTTATGCCTCTATTTCTGAAATACCCTTTGCCTGACCTTTTATAAAGGGTTAACTTGGCTGGGAGGGTCATTTTTTTCCCATTATATTGTGAATTCACAGAATTGTTGGCTAAATTCCATTCAAGTTTTTTGGTTGTGCTTTCTTTTTTTTTTTTTTTTGGTTGCACCACATTGTTTGATCCACTTAATCATTATGTGCTATACTCTTTTAGTTCCACTTAACTGGAATTCTCTGAAGCTATCTGTGATGATCAAAGAGGCCAACACCATTAGTAAAGAATTAGGGAAAAACACTATTTTCTACAGGTGAGTGTCTGAGTTAGCTAATTATAAGGTGGTATTTGTAATTTGTGTGGATTCTGGATGTGCAGTGAGCTGTTTCGTTTGTTTTTTTTCCACAACTTTGTTAAATTAAACACGACAAATCACTTTTCCAAACTAGCTTTAGTTAGGTGTGTAGTTTAGCCTTGCTAGTTTGAAATGTGAATTTCAAATTTGAATTTTAGGTCAAGACTTTAAAGGTATGTCTACAGACAATTTTGGACTGCATGTCCTTCGGAGATGAATCTTCTGATACCCATGTCAATCCTGCTTTTGTTCACATATTATGGTCCTAACTGCATTCCTTTTGGACAAAAGTAAAAAGGGCAATATGTGCCAGCCACTGGGAGGTGTTCAGTTTACAGGACAACAGAAGTAGTTCAAAGTAAAAACTTCAGAACACGCATATAGTGGATATTGAATACTTGGGACCAGCTGTTTCACTTCACAGATCTCTTGCTATGCCATGCTACTTTCTAGTCATAGCTGAAGAGTGTTCTAGAAGTGGACTTGTATACCGGTCAGGTGTTAGTGTGAGCAGAGTTATATTGGAACAGAGGAAACTCTATCATTTCAGAAGATTGCTACAGTAAATGCAGGTAAGCTAGGACTTTCTGGTAGGTGTATGTACTACTGTGTTTTTCAGATGTTGTCTTTTCACATCCTTCAGCAAGAACTCTGTCAGCAGAATTCTGTAGCGTAGATTTGGTTTTGAGTTTCTTGAGAGCCAGAAGTTTGTATGGTAGTATCTATTTCTGTCTCTGAATGCAGGGTTTCCTTTTTTCCTTTATGTAAAAATCATATTAATGGCTACATTAATGTACGTTTTGTGAGATATGTGATGTCTCAAGCACTTTCTGTGTAATCAATTTTCTTCTCTGTATAATCCTATCCACAAGTACCCTGTTTATTTCTGTAATATGAATAATGTTTTTTCTTTTTTTCTTTTAACCTTATTAAATTCTTAGGCATGACAAAATTGATGAAAGAACAGGAACAGTATCTTCTGTTCAGGTGCAGGTTCGTAACATCAAACTGGGAATAGCAACTTTCTGGAGCCTGGAGAAATTTGAATGCAAACTAGCAGCAATGAAAGAACTCTACGAGGTCAGTACCAACTGAAGAAAAACCACTGATAATCAGTAATATCTTGTCAAAGATAAGAGTCTGATAATCATAAGGAGGAAAATATTGGGATTTTGTGGTTTATGTGATCTTAAGAACTAAGACGCGCTATTATTTTTTATTAAACATATGTACACATATTTGTCCATTGGACAGAAAAGAGGACAGGAGAAATTAATTTATCCAGGTCACTTTGTGTACAGTGTAAATTAGCAAAACATGAACTATTTTGTAGTTCTTCTGGCTGTTCAATTGTTTATCTGCTTTAGAGGAAAACTTGACTTTTTAAAGGTATCACTTGAATTTTTATTACCGTGTTCTATCTATTTTTCTTTGGTTCTGGTATGTTAGTTTGCTACTGGCTGTCTGTAGTTTGCTACTGGCATACTGTCTGTATGTGCCTTAGGTTTTTCATTGGGAGTTTTAAAAGGCATTTTCCATCATTTTTTGTTTAACAAACTAACATTTAAGGTATAGATTAATCTCTTTTTCTAATTCCATTGCTTTTGATCAAACTGGGTATTTTTCTACTGCACCTCTCTAAATGTGCAGTTCTTTATTTTGGAGCATATTATACTATCTTTCCTACCAAAGAGGACGATGTAAAGTAGAAGAAAGGAAGAATGGGGAACAGTGCCTACATTTGCACCTACATTTGCTTCTGCATCTGCACAAAAACTGTAACTGTCAGCTAAAGTTTTTGTAATTACATAAAGGTAGACAGTAGATCCAAATTATTGAACACATAAGATTATAGTCAGCCCTTACTTGCTGGGAGGATGATATTCTTTTATCTCCTAAAGAGACAATTGTCATAAGAAGTAAGTTTATCTTCATTGGTGCCATGTGAGCAGATAGTGTTATAATTGCATTCCACTGCATTTTTTTTCTCCATTTTAGAGCTAAAGACTTGAGAGGCGTAAGAACTACTTAGACTTTTACTTTTTTTAAATCGGATCTGATGGCCCTTAAAAGTATTGTTTGTTTTTTAGTGGGAATAGAGTATTCTGGGATTTTTCCAGTTTCCAGGGCTCTGATCACAGATTATTACATTTTATGTTTTTTGGTTTCTGATGTATGAGTTGAAAGTGGTTTTAGACTGCAGTGAAATAATGAAGGGTAAAGGAAGGAAAATTCTTGGAGATGAGTTAACATGCTGGTTACCATGAGAGAAGAATCCAGAGCAATCCAGTAGAACCCAAATGATCTTGTATTTAATGCTATACTAGGGTTTTGGTTTTTTTTCCACCTTAGAAAATAATTGCATCCTATTATAGAATTATGGGCTTTTTAAAGGAATATCTACTTCATATATGAATAGATATCTGAAATAAAAATTTTCCAATATTTTGTCCAAAAAGAAAAAAAGCCATCAAAGAAAAGCCAGCAAAAAAATGAGGAAACACTCCTTTATGATAATTGTTTCCTCAATAATTTTCTGGCTTTTCTAACAGAAGAATCACAGAATCACAGAATACTGGGAGTT